TAAGTACGTTGATGGATTTTCTGCTGTCAGAAATTTGACATGAGTTGCGGACTCACAGCTAACCCATAGGAATGAAACAGGCACTGAAGAATAAAACAGAAAAACATGATTTAAAGCACAATTTCTTGTTTGTCATTATTTGGATGATATAAGAGAGGTGCTGGTAGGCTGATCAATTAGTTTTACTTTGCCAGGTTAGCTGTTTTGCCCTGCTGACTCAGAATAACCTGTGTGAGCTGTGATGATTCGACTTTCTACTCAATCATTTAACCTGACCATTTGATTGATGAGGATCTTAAGGGGAAAATAAATGCAAGCTGTCCCTTTGTTTTCATATGATGGTAGTTTTCGTACTCTTCAGGAGTGTGCACCATTAGACTCGCAGATGTAATGCTCTGACATAAAGCCAAAGATGACATATGATTGTACATGTTATGGAGTAAACTAGCTAAAAGAAAATGGCGGTCCCATTTATCATATGGAATAATTTTCTTTGTCTGCACAGATATCAAATAACAGGCTTATTCTCGGATCTGCAGAGAAGCAGAACACGATGAAGCTAATCAGGATTTAAACAATCGGGCATGATTTGGAATAAAGCCAGACATCCGACAAGCGACTCTGATGTATTGCCTAACACTGAAAATCCATTTGTCTGACCACAAAAGCTTTGTAGGTAGTGTTCAAATTACTAGCAAATTCACAAGTCTACTTCTAAGGAATACAAATACTCTGTACACCATTGCAGTGTGACCTGACACTGGTGTCCCAGCAGCATGTAGAATCTCCCTTGTAACACCAGACGGGGTGGAAATGGTCATTTGTACTACAGCAGAATGCGTTGTAGATAGGTGACGCCGGCAGAGAGTTCCTCCTGCCCATCACAAATATTATATGAATAATAGTATCTACTAAACTAAAGCATCCTTTAGAGATGGCTACCTGCAAAACCGATTGAAAAATCACATTTAAATGAGATATTCCTCGCCAAATTTCTTAAACTCGAGCCATTACTCGAGCCATTCATTTTTTTGTTTCTGACAGAATAGTACTCCAAAACTGTTAAGATCTGAATCTAATTTCTTAAGAAATGTCTTAAACGGATTGGAAATAATTTGATGATGGTGTCGCGTATACAAACTAAGGGAAGTGTTTGTAAATGTAACCAATCAAGTGGAGTGGGACATAAGGTTAAATCTAAGTTTTAACCAAGCAGCAACCTCAGGTTCTGAAAAGTAAAGCCAACTATTCTGTCCAAAATCCAGCATGGAGGGACACCACTTGTAGCAAATATATTTAAAATTGTGCGGAAGTCGATGAAAAAATGACCTTACTTTTCACTTGATTTAGTACCTAAGTAAACAGTCTCCTAATGAGTTTATGATCTCCAATTGCTAGTTTAAAGTCCTCTTCAATACAGCATGATGTTCTTTGTGTGAACTATGGTCTAATTTAGAGTGAAATAGAAGATAGAAAAAGCAGTGTGTGCTCTAGGGCTTGGCTACCTTGTGATTGACAAGACTTTATCGTAGTGTTCTTTGTGTTTTCGATGACGATGGCCAAAATGCCAATTTTGAGGCTTTAAAACCATGGTCAACAAACAAATGAGAGGCACCACAGTGACTATGTCCACCTATATACCGTCTATGTATGCAACACAAAATGTGGTCAGCATGACTGTATCAGGCGGAAGTCATACACTAATGATGGATGATGTACTGGGGACAAAGGGAAATTAGTTGCCTCTTGATTTCCTGCTCATGTGATGACCTGCTTTTGACTCAGATGACCTGCTATTGACTCAGATGCGCACATAAGAGTGTTTTGTCATGATAATGGTACAATAATGACACACCAGAATAAGGCTTGTGTTGAGTTAGCCTTCTTTAATGTTGCTTTGTTTCGTATTTAGAACGCTGGTCTTTTCTCCCATTGCCATTGGATCCTATTTTACGATTGGTACATCTGTACTGCTAAACTGCACATTGGTGAATTTGTTTTTTCAGCGTTATCTGATTTGTTTCACTGTGTCATCAGAGCTCACACCACTACAGGCTACTGAGGGGAAGTCAAAAATAATTACATCACATAATCTCCACAGTCAGCAGACAGAAAGTGAAAGAAGCAAATGCACAAACCGGCCAATCAGATGGCAGCGTGATAGGGAACATTGAGCTATCTCTTCTTTCCCTCCACGATTCAGTCAAACTGATTTAACACCTGACTTTTAGGACATACATCACCATCCACCCACATCTAGAGTCAGGCAATTGTTAATTTGTATAAGCCTACATAAAATGGGATCAGTTGCACTTTGGCTGCGGGGCCATATCTTCTCAGGGTGGCCCAGATTTCCTGGATGTGCCCCAAATTTAGAGATTGAAAAATCTAATATTTTAATCAAACAGCAAACCAGTGCTAACCTCTAACAGCACAATGATTTAAAAAGATGATGAAAGTAAAAAAAAAAGCCCAATGCCAGCACAATGTTATGGCACATTGTAATGCGAAAGAATAAGACCTCTGTTCAATTGAATCCAAAGAAAAAGGACTAAATCCTGAAATAGAATACTAAGAATAGAAAGTGTCAGAAGCAGCTCGGAGAAAGGTTCTGTGGTTGGTTGGGATTGAGCTCGCTGTCACACACAGATACAGAGAACAGTAATAGGCTTTGAATATATTTTAAATCTTTGAAGAATGATCTCCTTAAAAGAGCACGCTGTCATGGTTATTGATGGCTATGTAATCAGCAGACATTGTAAATCCCACCAAAAATGTTTTTATGAAGCTTGTGGCAAGGCATTTCTGTCCACCAAATGTCCTCCCAAACTGTCATTTTCTGACAAGCTGTAACTTGCAAACAGCATTAAAAAAGACAGACAGTCAGGAAAAACACATTCTGATTAATTGGTGTCGACAACAACTGAACAAACGTGCTCTAATATTACACACTGTGTGCTCTGTGGCAGTATTTGATCAATGTTTGTATCAGAGTGTATTTTGATCTGAACCAGGGAAGGAGTTGCTGCTTTGTAGGAAACCAGGAACTTGTCTTTCCAGCTAGTCCTCAAAATATATTTTCCCCTGCAGGCCTTTCATCTCAGAAAAATAGCCCCAGAAATTATTTTTGCGACACAAGGTTGCTTAACTTGAACAGGAAAAAACAGTGTGGTAAAAAAACAATGTGTTTCCATTCCCCCTCTGGAATATACTATCTTCATATCCTTTAAAGAAAACTTCCTAGGAAGCATGCATGAAAACAACAAAGCAGGACATCCCGAGGCTTTCAGAGCCGGCCTGCAGCATCAGCATTTAGAAGAGGGGGCGCGTAATGCTGTTGTCATAATTAATGGTTGGAGTGAATCTATAATTAAATGCTTGAGGGAACATTTTAATTTCAGCCACTAAGCGCCACAGAACTGTCTATCTGCTCATTCTTAGTCAAAGTCACCAAAGACTATAAGTTTAAAAGACAGAGGAACAGGATAGGCCACCAGTCTTACACAAAAAGGGTGGAATATGCAAGCTAAAACAATTAGTTGACTGACGGAAAATTCCTTACAAGCCACATTGATAAGCCATATTTAAAGGTGAAACACATCATAATAGTGTTCCAATGAGATTTGATCCTGACTTTTGTATTCACTTATTAAGACAAAATGCCATCATTTAAAATGGACCTTGAGTCTCTTCAATAAAGCTGATTCACTCAAACTAATTTCTGTAAAATCATTGGCACTGTGTTAGATCTTGACTTCTCTTGAATTCAGGGATATCTTTAGCTGTATATTTTAAATATCGTACATATCTTGTTATATTTTCAGGGTTAATCTGCCCTGAGCAATCCCTTTGAATGAGAGCATTGCATTTTGTGTGATTATGAACAGTTAAATTATAATGTTCCATGTTTACTCTGAGATTTAATCAGAGTAAATGTAGTTATTGTTCCATGAAACCGTACACCATTACCGGAAATGGCCAGCCATAGTTTGATATTGATGAAAGCATTGAGTCAACTCTACAGTCTCTGTAATTCAGGCCTGGAAACCTAAATCTGAACTAGGTGTGTCATGTTAGAGGGATAACAACCTTTAAAATATAGTTTAATGCAGGTTTAATTGTGATTTGTATTTGTCCTTACATTGCTTGGTCTTGCAGCAAATGCACTGCAGTGAATTTTCTGTGTGTGTGATATGAAGTTACCATAGTCTCATCATGTTTGTTAAATCAAATGAGTATGCTTTAACCATTAACACGCTGTAAGTTTGATGTAAATGGAGCCTTCATATGCGGGATACTTAATCTCCAGGCATCTTTATAATTTCACCACCTTTTGTTTCTGCTGGAAAAATTTCAATATCGACAGAGACTAAAAGCTTAACTGTTACTCAGGCTGCACATTTCTCCTGCCCTGCCTCTTATCAGCACTACCTCAAACATAAATAAACCAGGTATTAATATTTCCATCTTCCACTGCATTGTTGTTATTCTGCGGGCCAGTAGAAATGGAAAAGCTATTAATTCCTGTCTGTCTATGCAGTCGCTAGATGGCGCACTGGCTAATTTCTGTTATATTTTTATTTTAAATCGCATATTCGCTGCACATTCTTTAAACCTTTACCATGACGAGAAATAAAGCCGATGTGTGCGAGAGACAGGGCCCTTTGGCAGCTGGCGTGTTACCTTCACGGACTCGCAAGTGCATGTTTATAACAAGGCTGTTTACTTGGCTCTTTCACATGGCTGCAGTTAGAATAATGCGCGCTTATTATAGCAAAACTGCAGCAGTGGTGGATACATCATTGCATGGTTTTAGTGGCGAATTAGTACAATAACATACACAGGGAGACATTGAGGACGCGCTTTATCTGTGCTGAGAGCCCAGGCTGACCAACACGTAGTGCTGTGTGAAGCCGTTGAGCGTGACGGGGTCTCAGGCTGAGGCCGACCGGAGCGAACCGCTGCTAGAAGTACCGATACTGAACAGAAACATCACTTACATCAAGCGTGGCAGTCCCGTAGTGTTCTCCTCATGTATGCACAGCGGAATGACAGATCCTCATGTCTGTAGTGGCCGAGTAGCCCACGAGCCGCAGCGATGGGATGCTCCAGATGTGTGACACCTTCCCTGCCTTGCTCATGTATTTAAAAAATAAAATAAATAAAGAGCTGGCTCGGATAGAAGGTGCACAGCTCTGCCGGAGTTCAGATGGACACATGAATTAATTCATGTCATCTGGAGTGCTTGGCACACTCAGCTGGCGTCACGTCGGAGCGTGTGTCACTCTGAGCTGCGGTGCGCGTGTGAGGAGACACTGATGGGGGGGGGGAGCTCTATTGTCTCTGCTGTGGATGACATCATCCCAGACCAATGGCGTAGCGGACGGGACGGGGGGGCGAGCACGCAGCACGTGTGGGCTGTTCGTGTGGGCTGTTGGGGTGGGGGGGGTGTTAAAACAATTATGCAATGCCCCCCCCCCAAACACTGTCAAACAATTAAGTATACATGGTGTGAAATGAGACTACTACAGGCAGTCATAACATCTATTTTCTAATTAATAGGAAGAGAAACTTAGTTCATGAAATATTAATTAAATAGATGCAGGCATTAATAAACATATATCAATATCACTTTGATTTTGAAACTGAAATAATGGTGATCGTAGAGGAATAGTTAAAAGAAATTACTTTCTGTCTGAAAGCTTCAAAAATATGTCAAACTATTGCCTCAGTCATTGTGTCACGATTAGATAATACTTTATATTTGTAGTGTTACAGCAGCAAAGGCAATTTCAATGATGTGTAATTAAGGGAGGACACTTCAGGAAAAAACATGTTTTTTTGTTCATCTATTGGTCCATTTTAAGGGTTTGGCCTGTTTTGTCCCCTTAAACCTGATTAGTGGAAAGATAACGTCCAAAAATAAAGAATGATATTCTGTCAATATTAATTAAGCGGATAAATAAATACTGTATGCGTGGGAAATAAATAAATATGGCAATGAAATAAAATCTCTTTGAATATTTAGTTATGGCATAGTAAGTTAAATGGCATTCCGTAACACAATACACATTTAAGGGTTTAATTCACTAACTCTGCTCAGTAATAGGCACCGGTGGTGGAGTGTTATATTTCCATTTCATGCTACTTCCTATGTCTTATATTGCTACACTGCTCTCACAGGGAAATATGTTACTTCTTATTCCACTACATTTATAAATATATATCAGTTTACCATCCAACCAGAAGGGCAAACCAATAGTTATGTAAAGAATAATGAGCAAATAACAAACAGATACAATGCAGATAAGAAGCATAGAAGTTATGTCAATATTGACATGTGAGGTAACGGCTGGTGGTATGATACACACCGTAAATATAAATTAATGTGTCCACGATGGACAGAAGTTTAAATACACACATGTGTGAAAGTATATATAGTGCAGGTAAGTGTACAGTACCGGGTGAGGCAGACTCCCAGGATTCATTTTTCTGCTATGAAGACTTTTGATAATCTAATTACATTTTGCTCATGATCTCTTGACAGTGACATTTCAAAAGGACTGACATTATTGCCAGATTAAAAGGTCTGAGTATTTTGTTCATGACTCTTAAGCCCTAAAATGATAAAGCCGTGTAACAAATTGCAGGAAGGTGAAAGAAATATGTAATTTTCATAAAGATATTCTATTTCTATTTTGTAAATGTAAGAGTAAATACTCTAACAGTTTGCAATCTTATTTCTTACTACTGTAGGGCTGCAGTTAACCATTTTGTTCTATTAATCAGCTTTTAACCTTATCAGCAACACACTCGCACAAACACACAGATGTCCTGCTGACCAGGAAATAGTCAGGGGAAATCATGAAGCAGCATAGACACAAATGTTAGCGGTTGAAAAAAATGTCTTGCATCATTGATGAAAGCAGAGACATGTCATTTCAAACCATGTAGCCGTCCTAGGGGGGTTACAAATACCCGAATATAAAAGGTTTCTCTGTTGGCTGAACCTTCATCCCCCTTTCAGCTTTTTTTCTCTCAGACCGAATTGCATTGTCCTCAAGAGCCCTATGTAGATAGCCCTCTGTTGATTCACCCCCATAGTTTCCATCCAATAGACCTGCGTTTGTTTATCAAATATTCTGAATTTCATCTGTGTCTTGTATTCTTGTAACACCTTTTGTGAGTTTGCACAGTAATATAGGTATATGGTGGCAAACGGTACAGTATCAAAGTTTTGGCAGCGTGTATAACATTTTCATGGGTTCACCTGTTGTGACATTAATGAGGCTCGGGTTCAGATGACAGTAAGGCCGCAGGCCAGGCAGAAAACTCATTGGGTGGATGGCTATGTTGTGTTTGACAGTTGGACATTTTCTATCCATCTGTTTTTATGTGCATAACAAAACAAAAAAAAAGTTTGGTATAGTTTGACTGAGGTGAAAAAGTTGGTGTATCGGCAAAAGTTAGATACTTCAAAGTGCATTTCAAGTAAACGTCTATTGAAAAAAATGAAAGATTGCATCCGATCACTTTAATACGTAAAACAAACATTAGTATCTTTTTTGACTTTCAAAATAGTTTTCACGCTCTTTAAATTGCCTCATCTTTTAGCGCCCTCTACTGCAATGTAATCCATCTGGACAAGTGGGAATTTGTATCGCATACCTTGATAAATAACTCATAGCAATTGCTGAAAAACAAATACTGAAGCATAAAGAGTACATAATGCTAATTTTCAGGTTTCATATTTTCATTTTTGTGCAGCAATGAAAAATAGCATTGATGGTCCCCAATGAACAGATTGTAGCATTTGTTATGTTTTGAAACCAAGCAAGTGAGAACATTTCAAGTGTGTTAAAAGTGCAATCCTTCATCCAGTCCAAAGTGGACTATGGCAAATAAAAGATAAGATAAGATGGACCTTTAATAAAAGAAGCACCCAAGCTTCAAAACTGTACTGATAAAACAAATGAGAACATATTGTACATCAAGGCAAATATTATTTGAACCAGCTCATGGTTTGAAACGGCAAACATTTGAAAGGCAAAAGTATTATTAAAAGCCATGTACATCATCAGCCTTTGTGCCCATATAATACTCTTGGAAGGAGACATTTAATGGTGCTTTGAAAACTGGTATCTACATCATCATGTGAGGTGACTTTGTGCCATGGAGGAATTACTTTCGGGACTTGCAACATTTAGCTCGTTGAATAAGCTTGGGATATGAGATCTTTTGTAGCCATTCGTGGGTGAAGGCATCTTGTGCTATTGTATGCATTATTTTGACCCAACATTTATACATCGGCATTGGCAGAATATGGGCACTATTTTTTACATGAATATTCTAGCCATTGTCTACTTTATATACCACGAGCTGCCAATGACCGCCTTACCCTCCACGTATATGGCGAATTGTGTACCTTTGTTAGGATATACCTGGGCAGTGCTCTGTTTTGCCGAGGTCCCCCTGGCCATCAGTGGCGTTGTTTCTGGCGACGAAGACTGCTGCCCGGGGGCGAGGGCAGCGAGTCGGGCCGGGAGTAAGCGAGCTGTCCAGACGGAGGGTGAATGTAATCCACCAGTCTGACCTGTTGCTATGTCCTGCAGTATGCGTGGTGCCTGGCGTTATAGTGATGGTTGTTTTGTAACCATTTCAATATATCGGATTTATCATAGATGTGTGTCCACTCGCTGTGGAAGCACTCATCTTGGCATGATGCCCCCAGGCGCAGCGGAGCAGGTCACGCCGCACCCTTCCGACACAATTTCTATTTTGGATTGTATTCTATTATTCGTTGTTCGCTCCCTTCTCTTTTTTGAATAGAGGGTGCATCAACA